CACATGAACTACGCATGGTTTGGAACAACAATCTAAAATTTTCTTGACGTTTCGCATGCTACAGCACGCATCTTCAGAAGTGGCGGTTACAAAAAAACTAAAGATTTAAAACTTAAAAATACAAAGCGAGGTACTGGTAACGAACTAAACAATAACGAAAACAAACGGTGATGACTTTATTAGCTATCACCTTTTGTTTTCGTTTTAGATTTAGATTTAGATTTCTGTTTTCCACCAAACCGACATGCCTCTTACTTTACTAAGTTAATTCTGCCTATTGAAATGTTCATTTAATACCCGTTTACTCGCGGGTTGCTGGTTCCCATTCCCACTCCAGTGTTTACCCCTCCGGAAGACTGGAACTAGTCTGAGACGTTGCAAGGATCGCATAGCCTAAATGAATTCTTATCCCCACCCTTCCCCCGCCCCCCCTCCCCCACCCTCCTAGGAAAAACGGGAGGGAGACAACATATTTAGCTCCTTCCCCTCCCGTTTTTTCTCGGGGCATGAGTACGGCTACACATAGGCCAGCGCCCCTAAGGGACTGAGAGCTTGCCCATAGGCTGCGCGGCGCAAGACAGAGGCCCTGGCCATTTAACAGTCCTCTCGCTACCCTGGCGGAAACGTGCTCCTATTCCTGCTTAGACCCTGGTTTTTATAGCAACTTGAATTGTCAGTGACAATTCCTATCCTTTAATTTTTTGTTATTTTGAACTTATTTTGTAACCAAGCTCCTTGTAGGTATTGTACAATCTCTTAATTTAAAATCGGATTCCTTTTTGTTTATATAGATGAAACCGTGACAGCTTTCAGTTTCATCACCCGTAACTCTAAGCCTCCTCCGGGCACATCAACACCTGTGAAGGGAACCGTCAAGATGATTCAAGTAAGTTAAACGGGTGCATGGTCAGCAATTTTTAATCATCATCAGGGTCCGGAATGAGCAGACAGTTAGTTCTCTGTCGGAAACAGGATAATTAGTATAAATTTCAATAGTGTTCTAAAATTATCGTGAAATGTTTGTCCCGAAACGTCGAGTGTTACGGTTGTTATCTTTGTGTAGAAGATTTTTATAGCCAAGCAGCTCTCCTTTTTACTAGGGTGTGCTGCCGAGATAATGAACAATTGATTGTGATCTAGTTTCTGTCGAATTATTTTTCCTTCAGTACAGTCTATCTTGTGATAAGAAGAATACGAGACAGAAACATTGTGGACCCTCTATCTTATTTCCCACATCTCAGTCAATTTTTCAGCGATTTCTGCATTATCAGCGATTTTTGCAGATCTCAGATCTTAGCTATTATCAGTGAAAAAAGGCGTCATTTCTCAGCCAACAGTTAAAATTTGAGCAGCTCTTAGCCGTCGGTTAGACCAACCCAAGACCTCATAAATCGCCCTCTTAGCATGGTTCGGTTTCGCTAATCGCTATTCTATTTAATGGAGGCGAAAGCCAAATGTGGAAGATTGGTACCCATTTTACTGTAAAATGTCTTCCATACTACGAATTTACAAGAATACTAATCGATCAGTTAGCTTGGTCTCATAAAAAGAAACTCTTTCAATCCTTGACGACCACTCACGAACGAGCGATCGAGGACGGAGGTCAAGGGGTTAAGACATGGTACCCAGTTGTTTTACAGTTACATTCATCTGATAATTCATCTTGCTTTTTCAACAGCGGGTAGGATGTGGAAACATCACTATGATGATGGTACACATTTCGGGTCTGACTCCTTACTCGCCGCACGGCTTCCATATCCATCAGTATGGAGACATTTATACCGACGGTAAGAAATAATCTTTAACCAATTCCAGAATTTTGAATTTCTCCTGATACATTTTTCCAACACTTAAGGCCACTATGGAATTAATTCTCTAATCTTCAGCTTGAATATTCAATATGAACTGAGCAATCGTTTACGTTAAATGGACAAATTAACGACAAATTAACCCCTTCATATTGCATGCATCTGACTTGCACATCAGCGTAATATGCCCGGCCGTTTATGCGCCCAGAAAAATCGATTTTGTTTTATATTTTAGAGCTGACATGCTTCAACTTTATCTTTCAGGGTGTCAGAGTACCGGAGGTCATTACAATCCGTTTAATCAAACCCATGGGGCGCCTACGGACAAGATACGGTAATGAAGCTATGTAACGCAACGTCACACTATTTTAAAGTATGTCACGCAAGTTTCACGTGACCATCTTTTTTCCTTTATTGTTATCTCCCTTTGATTATCAATCTATCTAGACGTATATTTAGGAGCTGGCCAGGAAATGAATAGCAATTAGTAAAGAAAAGTGATATGTTTCAATTGCAGTCATGTTGGAGACTTAGGAAACCTGGAAACAGACGTGAATGGAGAGATTAACGCAGAGATTGAGGACCGCTTTGTGTCCCTGGTCGGACCTTACACAGTTATTGGAAGAGCTTTTGTGGTAATTATAAGCTAGGATGAACATATTGCCATCATACCATACAACCTCGGTGACTCGATCTTCTTATAGAAACGGTGTTGGAGCTTGCGCCTGACTCGTCACCACTGGTCTTCATACAACTTCATACAGCGCGCAGCCTGGGGCGAGGTGGGAGCACAGGTTGTATGAGTGCGACTGAGGAGGAGTCAGGGCTTATGCAGCTTATGCTTATGTGTATGCAGCACTAGACGGGTTCATGCCAGAAAATCAAACCAGAAAGAACAAGGCGTCCAAAACAGAACTTGCAAGCTGTTTATTTACACGTTGTAGTGCACAAAGATAAGATGAGGGATAATAGTGTTAATCTTTTGCCTTAGGTTATCCCTCTCTAGTGTACGAAAGCACGACGTCGACGCCGAGGATAACGTCGGTTTAAAAATGAATTTATATTTTACCTACGAATCTCGCGATACTCTAAAGTCATTTACTTTGTTTATTACTGTCAAAACTATCGCAAAACCAAATCCGGAACACAGCGATAAATTTGAAATAAAAATTAAAAAAATTAGCCGTCGTGGTTCACGTTCTCCAGGCAACGCAAAATTTGGCCATTTCACGTTGTTGTTTTTCAGAGGACGGCAAAGAAATGTACCAAGAATTATAACGCACGTGCACAGCCATTGTTCTGCTCATTAATTCTTTTGTTCAGTGACGTTCCCATTGCCGTTGCCGTCGTGGTTTCGTAAACTCCCCATTTTTAGACATGACACCCCGGTTCTATAACGAGTATCTTGCCATGCGCGTTGCGTGGATGTTTTCGTGGAGGATGAAATTTAAGTCGCTTATGTGTCAACCTGAGTAGAATTCGCCTCACACGATTAATTAACTGTTTCTAGACCCTTTTGCGATTTCTTGAGAGGGATATATTACGTTAGGAATAACTCCTAAATGGAACAAAATTAACTCATTTACTCTTCATCCTCGCTTGAGTCCACTCAACTGGACATTCACCAAGGACTTCTAATTAGTTCAGATTTCCAATTGCCCGAGCTCGCAAATTTTATGTGCTAATTTCCTTATTCTAATCCGTAGTCGAGTTTAATCAAACCGGAAAGTTTTTAAAAAATATATTTGGCTCCGTTCTTGATGTGCAGATCACGGTTTGTTCGATACGGACGTGACCATCAACTCAGGCAAGACCTGGACGGTAACTTGGACGATGATTTGAAAACAACCTTAATTCGCCTATTTCGATTCAAAAGCACAAATAATGATTACCGTTAGGTTAACAGACCATTTTAAGTCTTGACGAAGAAGTGTCCAGTTTCCAACTGAATCGAATGTTTGATTTAGCTATTGGCGAGAGAAGGGTTATTTTCTTACCTCGTTGAGAAGGATTTGCATTCATAATAATTTAATTTTGATTCCAGATTCATCAGAAACGAGATGACCTGGGTCGAGGCACTGGACCAGCGAGAAACGAGAGCTTGAAAACTGGCAACGCGGGCGCTCGCTTGGGATGCGGTGTCATCATCGATTCAACCTTCCTTTCAAAAATGAAGTGTTCTGTTCCTCATTGTGGCTTGTAATTCTTATCTAAGCCACAAAATATTAATAGACCAATCTCGACATATCAAAATTCTCATTTTAGGGGACAAAAGGGAAAAAATATATTTTTTCCTGCAACTTGGATGTGATTTTTTATTTCCTGAAGCGTAAGGGCCAAGTTAGAATTCTACTATGTCGAAATTAGCCAAATTTTTTGTGGATCATCAAAAGAACAATTAACTTAAAAACTGGCTGAAATTAGTACAACAACGAATCTCTTCTCAAGAAAGAGGTTATTGAAGATACAACTCCATGGAGTTGCACGAATAAAGAAACGTCAATTAATTTGATGTTGTGCTTCTTTTAATGTTGACTCAAGGCTTAAAACACCAAGAAAGGTACCCATATTATTATATTATTATTACATGCGGAGAAAGGTTTTTTCCTGAATAAAAACAGCAGCCTGCTTCTTTTCCTCAAATTCAGCATGTCATTGCCATAGTTGAGCAAGAAACAAATAATAAAATTGCCTTGGAAAAATTTTAAAAAGATCATTTTTGCCGTGGAATTTCCGATGAACGTCCCTGACGAACAACCGAATTGTAGTTTTATAAGGGACTCCCTTATCCCGTTGTTTATGCATCCTTCAATGTACAACTCTCGTTATCCTCCCTGTAAAATGAATATAAATTTTTGACCATTCTCTAGTTTTCTGAGTGTGAGAGTATTTATTTTTCCGGTAATAAAACTAGAATTGTACTCTCACTTCCACTTCTTTTCTTAGGAACAAGTTGTACTGAATCGCCTTCGCACGCTTTGCGAACCTATGTTGGACTCGGTCTATTTGTAGCACATCGCAAGTCAAATCAATAGGCCTATGCACGATCCGGTCACATGGTACAAAATCACGCATGCTGAAACCAAGTTGCACAGTTAGGCTTCCAAAACAAAGCAACTCGTACCAGTCCACCTCGCCCTGCCTTTGTTTTGGAAGTCCCACTGTGCAACTTGCTTCCCAGCATGCGTGATTTTGTACCATGTGACCGGATCGTGCAAAGGCCTATTCAAAGTCTTTGTACTCATCACCTGTTTTACGTGCAACAAAAAATAACAAGTAACGCAAACAAATTAAACTTTAGTGCGCTGCTGTTAAATCATCTTCCAACCCTATGTAAGGAGAATAGTCTTCGAACTATGCGTTTTACTGAAAAGGTAAGAATATATTCGTTTTGTATGCTTTATTGTTTTATGGGTCGTTATTGCAATTAAACAGGATTCTTTTAGGCCGTCCTTTTAACTTGAGATTTTGGGAACACGCGTTTCTCGGATCAAGTGTGAATACACAAACAGCTTTCTTTTACAGGTCACAATAACTGGATATACTGGAATTGCGCACTCAAACATTCCGAGTTTTCGCTTCATGTATCACCGACACCATTTTTTTACAGGTTAAGCCTTGTGTGTTTACACGTTTAGACAACTATTGAGTGACTTGTTGTAGCCGTGACGGAATTGTTGACTACGACCTGCGGAAGAAACCTGTCGTTGTTTAACATAACATTTCCTTCGTACAAAACTGTTTGAAATTCTAATTATTACCAAAATTTTGTAAGAGTGGCACCAGTGTGCCTGTAGACTAAATCTTGTAAAAGAATAAATACTTATTCATTTATTTTATACTGTGTTCAGTTTAGTCAGGAGCCATAATCGGGGACGGAGACCGTAAGCGCGCGCCATTTCAAGTATTAGGGTTGTCCCCATGATATGGGACAATAATTCTATTTTTAGAACAAATTGCGCCATCA